CTGACTCCCCTAAACGGAAGGAGTCGTTCTTTCCATCTCACCTGGCGCATCTCTGAACATCTCCAGGCTGGTCCTGACTTGCTTGCAGCTGCTTCGCCAGCTCTAGGGTATGAGCTCCGTGGAGGAGAAGCCGCATCTTACACCTGCTCGTGTCCACATGGGCTTGACACACACGATGTAGGCTAGATTAGGGGCCACAGGGATGTCTGGGGACAAGAGACAGTGATGTGACAGAACTTTTCAGAGGTGATGTGTGTGGCTCTACACAGCCTGAGCCAACTGATTCTCCAACAGATCAGCTAAGGGACACTATGGGGGAGGAGGAACCAGTGGGTAAGTTTCCTTTACCAATGCCATAAACCCTTTATTTTCCCTGGGACCTCGTGTCTAATTTTTGCCAGCAAGGAGTTTTTACTTTCCCCACCCCTGGCCACATCCTGGCCACATCCTGGCCACTCTCCACTCTCCCTCTGGCTAGGCTACCCCCAGAATGTTTTCTCCACAGGGTCCTGAAGGCTCTCAGCAACTTAGGAGACCTCCTGCTGTGGGAGTTGTGCAGGGAGAGGCAGCTGCGGTCCCATGGCACCCTCCTGTGGTAATGCCCAAGATGACAGCCTGCTATGGAAAGTCAGAAGCCCTTCTGGAAGGAGTGTGAGTCTTCCTCTAGGCAGCTGGGCTCTCTAGTTCAGACAAGGTGGCCACGTATGGTGGGGTCCAACTTGCTTGGAGAAGAGCTGACATGCATGCTGGGTCTGCTCGACGTGGAAACTTCATGTGGGCACAGCACTCAAGGCCAGTTAAGCAGTCATGCTCAATTCTACACACTGTCCCTACTTCCTCAGACTTCCCAGGGCCTCAGGTTGCCAATACCTTGCTGCGTGGCATTGGACAAATTACTTCCCTTATCTGGCCTCGGTTTCACAATATGAAAACGATAGGGCTGGACCAAAACGATGGTTTCAAATGGTGCTCACAGACCTTTAGAGGTTCAGGGGCTGCTGGGCATTGCCCTCACCTGCCCTCAACTTCACCCATTGCCACTTGGCTTTTCATCTACAGTATAGATGGGGCACTGAAAGAAGGCTTCTAGGACTCAGACCTGAGAATCCCGGGCTCCATGAGCTGGCTTTCAACACGAACATCCCAGGATCCCCAAATATGGCCTCCCTCATGGCTACCTGGCTCCACCGTTCTAGGCTTTACAGAGACCCGCCAGTCAGAAGTGGTCGGCATGGAGGGACGAGAGAATGGGAAGGCTGATGGCTAGGTGTCTAGCGTTCCTGTGGTGTGGTGGAAGGAGCTCTGGCTCAGCCGGCATTCCAAATCAAGTCTCAGTCTCCGCTCCCGCCATCCACTAGCTGTGGGACTACAGACAAGCCCCTTTATCTCTCCCTGCCTCTACTTTCTCATCTGTAAAATGGGCAAGGTGGTTCCCCTCCTGTCTTTCTCACAGGGTTACCGTGCAGATGAAGTAAGCTAAAGGATTCTTGTTAGGGTGCTTTCTGTAAATTACTCAGCTCCAATATTCGCAGGGAGACTGCTGTAGACCTCTGTACTATTTCACTAGTTCTGTGGCTGCTCTACATGACCAGGGACCCAGGACGTGGCCTCAGAGGTACTTTTCTTGAACTCAGCATTGCTGCCCTGGGCCCTACCCAGCGTGCCTTCCCTGCTTGGAAGTATGTTTCTAGGACAGAAGGCAAGCTCTATGCCAAGTATCACGTGTTCTGAGTGTTTCTTCCATCAATGTGGAGCAAAGAGAATGGGCTCTGTGATGCTGCAAGGAATAGGAAGGTCCTGCCTTGATATCCACTGGGTTTACAAATCCATCTTTATACTCGACATGGAAAACCCGAAAGACTCCACCAAAAAACTGCTAGAACCGATACATGAATTCAGCCAAGTTGCAGGGTATAAAATGAACATACAGAAATCGGCTGCATTTTTATACATCGATAATGAAGCAACGGAAATCAAGCAATCGATCCCATTTACAATTGCACCGAAAACCATAAAATACCTAGGAATAAACCTAACCAAAGAGGTGAAAGATCTATACACTGAAAACTATCTAAAGCTTACGAAAGAAATTGAAGAAGACACAAAGCAATGGAAAAACATTCCATGCTCGTGGACTAGAAGAACAAATATTGTTAAAATGTCGATACTACCCAAAGCAATCTACACATTCAATGCGATCTCTATCAAAAGAACACCAGGATTCTTCACAGAGCTAGAACAAACAATCCTAAAATTTGTATGGAACCAGAAAAGACCCCAAATGGCCAAAGCAATGTTGAAAACAAAACCAAAGCTGAAGGCATCACAATTCTGGACTTCAAGCTGTATCACAAAGCTGTAATCATCGAGACAGTATGGTCCTGGCACAAAGACAGACACATAGATCAATGGAACAGAATAGAGAAGCCAGAAATGGACCCACACATGTATGGCCAACTAATCTTCAACAGAGAACAGCCAATGGAAAAAAGACAGTCTCTTTAGCAAATGGTGTTGGGAAAACTGGACAGTGACATGCAGAAGAATGAATCCGGACCACTGTCTTACACCATACACCAAAATAAATTCAAAAAGGATGCAAGATCTAAATGTAAGACAGGAAACCATCTAAATCCTAGAGGAGAGAACAGGCAACAACCTCTTGGACCTCGGCCACAGCAACTTCTTACTAGACACGTCTCCTGAGGCAAGGGAGACAAAAGCAAAAATGAACTATGGGACCTCATCAAGATAAAAACGTTCTGTAAAGCGAAGGAAGCAGTCAACAAAACTAAAAGGCAACCGATGGAATGGGAGAAGATATTTGCAAATGACATGTCGGATAAAGGGTTAGTATCCAAAATCTATAAAGATCTTACCAAACTCAACACCCAAAAATCAAACAATCCAGTGAAAAAATGGGCAAAAGACATGAACAGACACTTTTCCAAAGAAGACATCCAGATGGCTGAACACGCACATGAAAAGATGCTCAACATCACTCATCATCAGGGAAATACAAATCAAAACCACAATGAGGTACCACCTCGCACCTGTCAGAATGGCTAAAATTAACAACTCAGGAAAAAACAGATGTTGATGAGGGTGCAGAGAAAGGGGATCTCTTTTGCATTGCTGGTGGGAAT